CGACAAGAAGAAAAAGCTTCGAATCGATCCTTCCGACAAGACAACTGTCTCGATCTTTCCGACAATCACTTCTCGTCAAGGTAATGAAAAATTGGAATTGAGATCGAAATCGAAAAAAAGAAACCTTTTTTTTTTGTTGGGTCTTGAGAATTTGGGGGTTTTATTTGCAGAGACGAGTTTCAAAGAAGGATTACCGGGAAAAATTGAAGCTCCGGCGGTTTTTAGAAGGATGAGAGTAACGGCGATAAGTAACAACGAACAAGCAGAGATCGGTTATCAAGCGACAGTGACGATAAGTGGTCATGTCTTTAAAGGTTTTCTTCATTACTATGGTGTTGATCATAACAAAGCATTTCCATGTCTTTCTTCTAAAAAATGATCATAGGATTTGATTGTATATAGAGTTGCTCTGTTTCAACATACAGTATCTCAAGGTTTTTCTTAAAATCTGTGGATTTTTATGTTAATAAGGGACCAAAATTTAAACATTAATGGACCATTCAATTCTTATAAAGTTATAAGCATGTCTTGTTTATTTGATGTATACACTCAAAATGGATTACTAGATGTATTGTTAGCAAGTGAGGTTGTTTCCGGGATCAACACCAAATAGACGACAGTAATCGGTATAGTAGCGAACCCTAGCTTGTACCGTGGCTGTGTTGGCCCCGTCGCATTCCAAAGCGCCGTTAATGGCGCGGATTGTTGCACCAAAACCTTGAGAGAGAACAGGCTGAACATTATTGGTCCAGAACCACAAGGCGGTCTTGAAGGAAATGACTGGATCCGTGGCTACTGTTTCTGGCGCATTGAGGCCGTCGAAACCAATTGCGGTCCCTGCTGGCCCGTAGTTGAAATTCCAAGAGAGTTGGATTGGTCCACGGCCGAAATAACCTTTGTTAGGATTACATGGGTATTGCGTTGCATTTTCGTCGCAGTAATCTTTCGAGGCTCCGTCTATCTCTTCTATGTAGCAGAAATCTAAAAACAAAAGCCGAAACCGATTTATTAGCAAATAAAGAACATACACGTAACTATCGTAAGAGAAAGAAATGAAGCATTAATATATACTTACGTCCAGTTTCATGTGTGACATGGGCAAAGAACGATGCGATCTCACGCCTAGAATCATCCACGGATCCAATCCTACCGAAACGAGAATAGGACTCTAAGGCCTCAAGAAAAGCTCCTCGGCTGTAAAATCTAATCCCCGCGCAACTAGACGCGGCTTGACTGATGATTCCATTAAAGAAATCTTGAGTAGCAATCTCAGCCACTGATACATCATTGGCTGGAGGAGGAGCAAAACAAGGCCCTTGTTGACAACCTACACCACAATAGTCTGAAGTGTTACCGCAAAACCCAAACCGACTACAACATAGGTCTGATGAACAACCACAGTTTTGAGCCTTTGTTGTGTAATAGAAAGCATGTAGAACTAATAAAATGGTTACTATAGAGATGGATTTAGAAATATTGAGGGTCAACATTTTGATTTTGTTGAGAGAATAGTGGAAAAAGTAATGGTGTTTATGCCTAAATATAGTGTTTGTATGTAAGAAAAGTCGTAATGTAAATGTGTGGACTTGGTCGAGCCACTAAACATTTGCTTCATACTAATAAAAAGACCGAACAATTTGGAAAAGTCGTGTCTTGTGCGATGGAGATGTTTTGCCGGAATTTTTCATTGGTCATAGTTGACTTTTTAAATTACAATGATCACTTTGAAAAAGTGTTTTCAGTTCACATTTGCTAGAGGATTTGGTTATGAGGTTTGTGATTTGTGAATGTGAAAAGTACGTGATTATATTACTCTTCATCTTTGCTTTCGTATTTCGGATAAACCGATCTGATCTAATCCGAATCAAACCGAAATAATCTAGTAATGAACAGATTCAAAAGAAAAAAAAAATCGATGATCCAAAACAATAAACATGCATAAAATTGGCTTTTAAGCATATAAGAATCATCTTTGGTTAAAGAATCCAAACACAAGTAAGAGGAACAAACCACAACAAAGACACACAACCATCAAAGGTTTTTTTACTTGCCAACAAGTCTACAAAATGCAATTTTCATGAGAAACACACAATTCTTAGCTACACACTCATCTATCAGAGCTGATGCATGTCATTCAATGAAAACTTGACAATTGCTTGAAAGCTTTGTGGATGTAAGAAGCTTCATGATAATATCTGAATCATTTATGGACATAGGATGATAATCTTCGAAACTCAGAATCAGTTTCTTGAGTATTGCTGAATTTTCAAGAAAGTAATTCACTAGATTAATCCAAGTTTCTTCCTCCGAATATAGATCTTTAATCCTAACATACTCCAGAGTCGATGTTAAACACTGAGGCACATAGTCATTGGTAAGGTCGACCCACGAATAACTCGACACGTCCTGC